AAGCTGACAAAACATGAGTAGGTAAACAAGATCCTCCATACCTTCATAAATAACAGGGCAAAGGACCAAATACCTCCCTCACGTGCAAGCTGGCCCTTACCAAACAGCTGTAAGGAATTCTTATGGTATGTACAAACAAAAAATAAGGAATTCTTACAGTATGTACTGACATTAGCATCAGAATTAACCAACCCCTGTAAGAGTAACTGCTACCACTTGGAAAAATGAGCAAGGTCAATCAGTCAAAAGACTTTATTTTTGTCTAGGATCAACTACTTTATATGGCTTTGCTACCAAATATAGAAACATTACCCGATCTACAAAGGCACTATTTTTTAAGACTGTGCTTTTGGAAGAAAATTAGAATTGTTTTTTCCTCCTAAAAGATCATTCCAAATGTGTATTATTAAGATCCAAGATACATCAGATGGGAAAAGGACTGACCAACCACATCCTGGACTGAACTATCTATTGTTTAACTCCATTAATTTTGCCGGTTTTAACAAAGCAATGCCGAACTTTATGTTTTAAAAAAATCCTTTTTTAATCTCAGAATTATAGGATTATTTAGTAACTCTGGTTAAACTGCTAACCATAGTTAATTCCCTACATAAATTTTAAAAGACAGTTGAAAAACACTGTTCTAAAATAAGCCATGTCTAAAATGAGGCAGGAGATTCTTTTAGAAACTATGAGCAAACGTCTGATTAAGATGACAAGCCACATGGAAACTACTCCCAGAATCAGACTCAAAGGGCACTGTTACCAACCAAATTTGGCAGACAAGGAATCATGATGAACTGCAAAGGCACGCAGCAACGTAACAAAAAGTTCGGAATCATCAGCAAATAAGACAGCAAGCACTTATGTCTACTCAGCAAGGGCAAGAACATAAGTAGGATGAATTCTAAGCATTAAATTCTGGATTCAAATGAGTGGCACTGTGATATAGTGGGACTGGAGACTGCTGTTCCATTTAAAGGTGACTGGCCATAAGCAAGCCGTATCAGTAAGGCAAAGTATCTGGCTATTGCAGATTTTTCATTCTGATTTCTATCTGTCCAGAGAACTCATCTTCAGAGCAGTTTTAATAGCAAGAACAGAGAAAGAGCTAAAAGCATGACATACATAATGTAGGGCTCTATACTTTCCTAAATGCTGTGTTCAGGGTTAGAACACCTTCAGAGACTGCCTTACAGCATTTATCACTAGCTAACAGTTGACATTCGGCCTTATCTGTAGATAACTACTGTTAGATTTGGCATTTTTAATACACAGCTATGCTTGTTTAAGATCACTGCGCCTTCAGTCTGAGCTAAGAGGGTGATGACTGAAAATTCAGCTCAAGCAGGAAAGAGAGCATTTATAGCTAATTTGTCAAATACTACAGGAAGCTTAATTAAGTCTCATTTCTGTTTCCAGGAATATTCCGACGCAAGTACAGCTACATCAACTTGGGCAAGGGACCGTAAGAAATAATTTATACTTTATCCTTTGCATCGATTGTATCTTTCAGAAGAATAACACCAAACAAACCTAGTCAGCGAACATACTGAGCTTCCGCAGAATAACACAACCAAATTCCGAGCTCATTTGTGAAGTTTAAGCTCCTTTTTGACCTAGCGCTGCACAATTTACCGAGCTGGGGATCGCGGCTGAACTGAACTCATTACGCACTTGGTCAAGCGCTGCTTCCCCGCGCCAGCTATTCTGCTGTGCGCCCCGTTCGAGTCAGGAGCTCCAGCTACCGCGCAGGACACCCGGAGCCCTGCGCCGCGCCA